TAGAAGGCCGAACACCCAAATCCACGCCATTAGGTATCCTCGATACGAGTTGTCAAATAAGGGGATAAACACTTATATTCTTCAATTTATGATACTCTTAAATAAATCTTTCAAGAACCTTCTTACCATCAAATAGAATGTGTTGTATTTTTTGAAGTTGAAGACGACATAAGACATTTTTTGACATAAAAGCCGCAGGAACGAAATTCTTGTGCTTATTTCTAAGCAGCAGATCAACCAGAGAGATGCCTCGAAATGACGAACGCACGAATTTGGGAAATAAAGGCAGGAATGGCATTAATGACATCAACAACGCAGCTGACGACATGACATAAACGTAGAAAAACTACATAAACCAGCCACCGCATCCAATCATTGTCAAATGGAGCGACAAAAGCAGCGAGGAGCAGTCCTAGTGCATATATCGATATCAACTTCAAACGTGGCCCAGATGATATGAAACGCTACAGCTGTACTGACTAGCATTGGATGCGTGAATTGCCAGACAAATCAGACATGAAATCGAGCCCGTATACCACAAACACACATACAACGCGTATGTCACGGGGGGAGGGGAGCCGCTCCCTCCGAGATCGATGTGCTCGGGCGTGTGAAGGCCCTGCTGCTGCTGTTGATGGGGGCAGCGCCGACGACGACGTCGACGCTCTCAAGAGACGAGCATGCGTAGTGCGCTTCTGGGGAGCACTCCTCGCTAACAATGCCCTCTCTTTAATCGTTCTTTCTCGAGTTGATGCATGCGCCAATCCATCACCTCTGTTATGCGCGAAGCAAGTGGGACAAGAATTCTTGCAAAATCTCAACACGAAAAAAAAAGCAAGTCTTAAGTAATTTTCTGTAAGAGGAAGAAAGCGCTGTGACGGATACGAGGTCCCAAAGACTATGTAATCCTACTCATATGTTCCAACTCCCTTTTTTTTTAATTCGAATCTGGATTTTTACCTATACTGCTTCCAACTAAGTTTTATAGATTAAGTGAGAAAATTATTCTTTTTTGTAGAGCTCCGAAAATGGCGTCTAGTCAACGGTAGTAAACCTGACTATGAACTCTAACGCACTATGGATGTTCGTAGTACTGTCTGCAAAATAATACTCCAAAGTTCGTATGTACTTCATGCATTCTTACAATTTCTCTGGCATCTATCAGACCTATGCATAGGACAACGTTCCAAAGACAACTCTTTAATTGGATCTCATTCTTTCATGTTATTAACTCCATTCCCCGAACATAGTAAAAAAAAATCTTAGATAAAAAGTGACGTCTGCTTCCGGAAAGAATGCCGGTAAAAGCAAGAGGAAAGGTATCGTACATAAAACAGATGAGAGCTCGTAAGAAAAATGTTCTGAAAATGCTTTTGATTAACTGATCTCTCACTCTCAGGATATGTTACTTTTTGGTCGCTTCCCAT